TGCAATTTTTCACTATTAATCAGAGTTATTGCTTGGGCCAGATGTTGACTTCAATAACGAACTCTGTGCGAAACCTTTAACTAAAGAAGCGTATACAGGGTGTCTAGAGGTTCTAATCATTGTTTAGACTTCCACAGGACTCCGGTTCAATTCCGGGTCCGTCTGCCTCGGGCCAAGTTTTTCTACGGTTTCCTTGGATCACTTGGACAGTAATAGTATTCTACAGATAATTATTTCGTTTGTCTCATCTGTCATACCCCAACCACCACCCTTCAAAATGGAGACTAAAGAGAGCATTCCGCCTTACCCTTCGACTACCCACCTACTAGCATTAGTAGCTTCATTTTCAGGCAAAAGAATAGAGGATAGATATCAACAGATATTCATGAATTACAGGAACAAGTTGTTGGAAACAAGAAAAATTTCTGAAATGATCCAGAAAACTCCAGAATGTGTGCAACTGTTACAATCGATCTAGAATGTTCTAGAAGTTTCTAAAAATTTCTGGAATGATCTAGAAAGTTCCAAATTGCGTGCAACTGTTAAAATCGACATGGAATGTTCCAGAAAGTTCTAGAAATATCTGGAATAATTTGGAAAGTTCCAATCAGGAAACCGGAAAATCTATATTATCTACGTTAAAACGTGGATCCTTAAATATTTTATATACCATTAAACATGCGATGTATTTTAACCAGAGCTACGCCGGGTTTCGTTGCTAGTACCTACTTAATATAATTTACGTGAACGTATATTGCTACTATGGTACAGTCCTTTGGTTTTTAACCGTAAGAAAGAAGGATCATGCATAGCACATGCGTCCTGTGAAGAAACAGAACTTCTGAGCGTATAGAACCTTCAGATGCGCAATGTCTCCACAGCGGTTTACCTTTCTAAAGGGTGCGTTTGATCTTGAAATCAAAACACAGCGAATTACCAGAAAATAGTAAGGTAACTTCGAAGCTCAAAGCACATGGAAAAAAAAGAAGTATTCGGAAAATTTCAAAAGAATATTGACAGGGAAGTCCCGTTTCCAGTCTCCAAGAAAGTTGATACAAACCATCCAACTCCAACTTTTATTACTCCGACTTTGATAATAATATAATTTTATCAGTACAATTCTGCCGTTAGTTTTCAGATACTTATCGCACATCAAAAACAAACCGACAAAGACAACTGTATCCTTTACTAATTTAAAATAAATTGTGTTTCCCGATCGCTTAAGGTCAATGTTTCTTTTCAATCGTTTTCAAAATGTACTTAACCATATCGTGTAGTGACTACTTACTAATTAAATTGTCGTATAAATAATTTCCGTATTATTAAAATGGACAAATTTGATAGATACCGTTGTTACAATTATTATTGTTATCCATTTACTTAGTTTCATTTCTTTATTAGAAATTATAATCGTCGAGTGATTCGACAATATTCCATCATCCCCTACCCCAGGCACACAAATTTTCTTTACATACTTACATCTGGAACTCTAGAAACGTAGCACATTATTGTACATATAAAAATGTTATCGTTACATAGAAAATAATCATCATCATTAATAAACCAGACAAAGGAACAGTTGCGCTATCGTTATTTGTGTTTGATATCCTTGAAAGGACTAACAATAAGACACAATACCAAATATGTAAAATAAAAGCCATACTTAAATTAAAAACATATTATTATTATTACTACAGTCCTTATGGTCGCGAAATCAGGTGTAATAAAAATCATTGAATATATTTATGTATACTAAGCGTGTAATAAATGGTTTCGATAAAAGCAGGCATGTATCGCAAGCAATAACATATGGTGCTACTTACGAAACGTATTAAAAGTCCTTGTCGAATCCAGAAACGGATAACAATTCTTACAATTAAAACATGTACACACACACACACACACATACATATTAATTGTTCAACACCTTCTCAATCGTTTAAAATTTTCTTTCTAAAGAAAATTGAAACAAATTACCCACAAACTACTTTCAAATCGACAATTTTTTTTAGATGATTGATTGATCGGATACATTTAATATGTAATTAAGAAAACATTAATAGAGAAGTGTATCATTAGGTTTTTTAATATAACACTGACTGTTGGCTGAAGCAAGGCCATTTTTTAGTCTAAATTTTGTGAATTTTGTTGTCATTTACTTAATAGTCTTAGGTCATTGAAAGATTGCTGTTACGTCATAGACATAATCTGTACGAACCAATCTAAATTAATATATAAAATGCTAAATACAGGGTTTTCTCTATCACCACCAATTCCTATCAACTTCCCGTTGGCGTGGTAAATACCCCTTGGTCTCCTGCTGAAAGTAAGGGAGTTTGATCGCGGTGGGTGGCAGTGGGTGGCGAAAATGCGAAAAATATATATCTGTCCTTTCCTAACTTATGGGATCTTTTGGAAAGTTCTAAAAATTTCTGAAATGATCCAGAAAACTCCAGAATGTGTGCAACAGTTACAATCGATCTAGAATATTCTAGAAGGTTCTAAACATTTCCGGAATGATCTAGAAAGTTCCAAATTGTGTGCAACTGTTAAAATAGACATGGAATGTTCCAGAATGTTTTAGAAATATCTGGAAAGTTCCAAATTGTGTGCAACTGTTAAAATCGACATGGAATGTTCCAGAATGTTCTAGAAATATCTGGAAAGTTCCAAATTGTGTGCAACTGTTAAAATCGACATGGAATGTTCCAGAAAGTTCTAGAAATATCTGGAATGATCTGGAAAGTTCCAATCAGGAAACCGGGTCTAAGTCTCTCAATATCTAAGATAGAAATCTATATTATCTACGTTAAAAAGTGGATCCTTGCGATGTATTTTAACCCACTAATTTAGGTGAACGTATATTGCTACTATGCTACAGTCCTTTGGTTTTTAACCGTACTTTTGGAGAAAGTATATGTATATGGATTTATACAGCGTCTATAGTATATAAATTTAATTAACGATAACCAATGTTTTGCGGTCGTGGTTGAAGCCTGTAAGTTTCTTTGTCATGAGCAAGGAAAGAAAATCGCCAATATTAGTTATACTTATCGTTCATTACTGAAGAATGTAAGTTGGCTGGACGCTCTAGCTGTATTATTCTGGTCTGATGATAAATCAAACGAGTAATCTTAATTACAAGAGCGAATTCTTGTGTGTACATATATATGTATGTATATATACTTCTATGTATAAATACGTAAGTATTACCTATACTAGCGAAACTGTTTACAGTCGATTCAACGGAAGAAAATTATATCAAGAGGCTTCATTAGAATCTCTTATCTGCCGCCAAGAAACATGATAGATAATAAAAGCACTGAGACGTTGTTACTGCCTTTTTAATGATACCTGTTACCACCGATCCGGCAGTTTCCTTTTTTATTTTTCATTTTCGTTTCTTGTCTTTTCGATTGAACGGGGAGAAGTTCCAACTGTCATTATCGTACAGTTTGTTTAACATACCCAATCGTGGATGATTTTATAAAGCGACGTAAATTGCAACGTTCAATACAGTATACGTTAAAAAAAGAGCGCGGGACGATAGGTCATACCGTTGACAAGTGCGTGACTAAAAAAAATAATATTACACGGTTTTTCGTGAAAATTATATGGTCGCGATTAGTATCAAGTGAAAGGTACATGTACCTATTATGCAAAGAAAATTCAAATACATTGAAAAGCTTCATCATGCCGCTGTTGTATGACAAAAAGTACGGGATACTTCGTGTTATACTAATAAAAGTTATCTACTTTGGAAAGACCAACAAGAGCGTTAAATGAGAAAAAAAACGAAGAAAATCGTTTGTTTGTGTTGGTTGACTTTTTGTTTCTTATTTAACCTCGTCAAACGGGTCAATTAAAGGCAAGACGAGTGGTTTTCGTCGCGGTATAATAACGCGTATAAGTTCGTAATAAAGATGCAGTCGGATGGGAATGCCTTTTTCGGATAAGTGAGTCAGATCGCCCCCGTAGGCAGGTCTGCACTCTCGCCCCCTTATATGGCGTACCAGACCTGGGTCATTGGTGACGTAACAACTTCACGCACGCTACGTGATCCTTGTCTCTCTTTTTCCATTTTTTTTTCTTTCATACAACAACCTTAATTGTTTCAACCTCGCGAACTACTCCATTTTTTAAACATTTCATTGCCCAAAAATGTTTTCAGGGTATTATCGATCCTTTATTATTTTAGGGTTTAATTACTTTACAAGTCAATGTTCAAATTTGGTTTTCAAGGGACTAAAGTTAACAATGTCGTAGGACAAGATAACTATTTACTGTCTTGTATGCAACTTTCGTTGTATCTGCTCCGGCACGACTTTCTCTCTACATACCAACCTGTTGGAAGGAATAAGGTCGTTCAGAAAACCGCAACGTTGAACATGCAGTTACGTGAATGAGTGAAATGTCTTATAGACCATATAAGATTGGCGGTGAGAGTTTTATCTTATCGGTATAGACAGTGGAGTTTCCGCGTGTGCCATGGAAACACGTAATCGATGACAGTATACGGAGAGAATAAGGACAGAATGGAATTAATTCGTTAAAAATACTGTCGTAGATTTTCTGGAAGAGCACTGAGACCAGTCATCAACATCGCAAGGCCTCCAGCCCAAAAAATTTTAAGCTAACCTTCGGATTTCTCGAAAACTAGAGAAACTTATATCTATATAATTATATTTCTTCTACCATTCTATTTCGCCTATCTTTTATTGACATTCATAGTGCCCTGTGGTCTCCGACTCTTACTAAAACCTTCTCATTTCTAACCTTTTCTGTCCTCATTCTCGTGTTCCAAATATTTACTTTTAATAATCTTTTTCGAATTTCTTAGGAATTTTGCAAGGATAAATGTACTTATTGTTACATTCAAAATTTTACTTAAGAACCTCTGTTATTTTTGCGTGGTGGCATACAAAGTTTGATCAAACCCGATAATAAAATTTACAAATCAAAAACATCATATACCTAATTAATATTGTAAAAGGACTCACCGATTTGAGACCATTGGTTTCTTTTTTCTCTTTCCGATATTCCAAATTTTCTTTGCTTCCGCTGTATTCTTTATATCTGGCACGTAAATTTTCAACTGGAACCATTTCTTTGTTCTTCTCCTTCTTTTTTTTGCTATCCCTCAGGAACAATTGTTTTACCTATAAATATTAAAAAGAAGAAGAGTTAGAAAGGGACTAATTTTAAGATTAATTTGTGGACCCTGGCAGGACCAAACAAGTTTTCTTTTTGTAAAAAGCAATAATAACTAGTTCAATACAGTTCCATTCAGCAGCCTATACAAAATTTGAAATAATATAGATTTTTTTCGACATTTTTATAATCAAGTACAGAGGTCTCATGAGTACTTTGTGGATCTATGTAGATATGCATTTTAGGGGAAACACTGCATTGTAAGTAAAAAATATTTTGGTTCTGCTGAGGGTCATTTACTAAAGCTACTTATTGAGTATGAACAATACCTTTTCAAAACTGCTCTTTTTCTCGGGTTTGGGCGGTTTCGAGTCGATTTTCTTTAAGGTACTTCTGCCCATTTCCAAGTCCTTATCGATCCTCGGATCGTAATGTGAACCATCGTCAATGCTCCGTTCTCTCGGCACGTATTCGTGTTTTATCTCTTTCGTTTTATATTCTCGTTCGTTGGATCGTCTTTCCGGCCTAACGGGACATTCCCGGCTCTTACTGCTGCTCTCCCTGAGCCCCCTGTCGGAGTCGTATTCCCTCTTTGGCTTTCTAGTATTGAAACTGTCGTCGGTATGCTGTCTTTCGCTTGCTATTAACAGAGAACTGGCGAAACCCTCGTCTTCGCTGTCATATTCCCTTTGGGGACTCGATCGTGGCCTAAAATTTTCCGCGGAATCCCTTTTAAAATCGTTTTCGATACCTGAATCGCCGAATTTGTCTTTTCTCTCACTGTCGTTTCTTTCTAAATACCTTTCCGAGCGGTATTTAGTAGGCGAGCGACGATCCTTCTCGTATTTTTCGCGACGAAGAGAGTCGTGATACGATTCGTTGTATCTATCCCGAAACGGATCTTCGTAAGACCTGTGGGTTATTTCCGGGTTAGATTTGAAATGTTCCCGACTACGTAGAAGCCGACCGTCCCCTTTAGAAGCGTATTTGTTCGAGTGGTGGTGTTTGTAAGTTTGACTAGTTTCAAAACGTCTTCCAGAATTTTCGGGTGAAGACCGATAGTCGCTGATGTGGGAATCAAAGCTGGTGGGTTCATTATCGAAACTGTTATTGTAGTTGGAGGATTTGTAACGTTTTTCGTATTCGGCACTGTCGGGACTGTTTTCCCCGAAATTCTCCCGTATCCTGTAGTCGTTTCGTAGCGTTTGGCCGTCCTTGTCGTATCTGGATTCAGTCACATATTTTTCGGTAAAACCTACAGGACTTGTAGAACCGTGTCGGTAATGCTTTGAAGTTTTTTCTGTGATAAAGGTGCTATTTATGGCAACGGGTTTCAGGACGTGTTCGGGAGATGTGCGATAGGGTTTTTCGTGCAGTCGCCGATTTATTCGGGATTCGAGGAGATCTCTTCTGGTACTTAGATCGTTGAAGTTTGGTTTGATGAAATCCAAATTTTCCGGTTCTCGGAAACTTTCTCGCCTTTTCGAATCCATTCCGTCTGCTTGCCCTCTGGCCGAAGAATCTTTGTAGTCCATTTTTCTGAATTCTTCCAAATTTCCAAAGCCGTTGTATTCGATTTTTTTGAATTTTGGAGTTATAGGATATTCTTCCTCGAATTTGTCACTCTCGGTGTAAGTCCTGGTGTTGTAACTGTGTTCATATTTTCTTCCGAAGACGTTCTCTTCGCATCCAAGTCCTTCATCTGAATCAGAGTGAGGCATGTGCTTCTTCCCATTGGAATAAGCCGTATGAATGGTTTGTTTTCCATTCGAGTTTAGTCCTTTATCGCAAACAACTTGCGCGTATATTACAGGACTACTGCATTTGTTCTGCGGACTTCTGGAACCGTTGTTGCTATGACTAGTATAGTTTTTATCAGGACTGACACCTCTGATGTACGAAAAGGGCTGGTTGTTATTGTGCTGGACGGTAACCGTTGGTGTTATCAAGATGTTCGTTTTTGGAGGGGGTGGTGAGTATTTGTCGTTGCTCAATCGCTTGACCATCGTATCTACAGTGAGACCTCGTGTAAGAGGAAGCTTCTCCGGCGGTTGCTGGCTGCTGTGGATCATCTCGGTATTTCGATGGTTTTGCTGCTCCAAAGTCGCGATGGTGTCCTTTATTTTAGGGGAGGTATGCTCTATATCGGCAATCCGATAGAGGTCTATTTGGGCGGTATCGTCATCATGAGGGTGTTCATTTTGCACCCTTGTCGCGAACGATCTGGGTTTTTGGACGCTTAGATTGTCTGAAGCTGGAGATCGTTGTAATTTCGATTGTTTTTTAGCTTGCGACGTCTTTTTACGACCGAACAAATTAAAATTTTTGATGGATCTCTTTTTAAATTTCGGCAGTTTTCTTTTCTTTCTCGAAATATTTTTGGCCTTGTCCACGTCTATTATTATCACTTCGGGCTTCGAACTTATCTTAACGTCATCGTCTACAGCTGGATCGACTTTACGTACGGGTTCTTCTTTATTAAAATTCCTATCGAGTTCGTTAATGTAATCTTTCAGAATTCTCGTTGCATTCTCCGGACTTTTTCTTTTCCGGTCTTCTTTATTATCGATAGGGATATTCTCTTTGTTTTCGAAGTAATCCTCCTTCGGTGAGTTTTCTATTATAGGTGACAATTGTTTTTTATTACAATGGTGCACATAATGTTCGTCGTCTGTGTCGCTGACAGACTGTCTGTTAGCCTTAAGAGATTTCGATTTTAAATTCGTAGCGTCGCTAACGCTGCGTCTCAAATTAGACTTTCTGGGATGATCCTGGTGATCCTTTTTGAATAAATTTATGATCGAAACTTTCTCGGTTGTCTTTTCGGGAGTTTGTCTATAAGCGAATGTTCTAGGGGGCTTTTTGGGAGGGTGGTCGTTATTTATATCGAATTCGTCGTTGTATTTTCGTTTTGTTTCATAGACATCGACGTCTGAAGGGAATTTATATTTCTTTGGGAGCGTGTGGGATTTGTATCGAAGATGTGAAGGTGGCCCTGGGAATAAATACGAATGATTAGGAAAATATGGTCGATAATCCGAATAAAAATAAAATAGGTATTGCAGCGATTTATAATTTACGTGATAAAGGTTATGTTTTAGAATTATCAGGCGAAACACCTAATAAATAAATGTTAGGCTAACAATTACCGGCTTAGCTAGGGATTTTGCACCGACTTCTTGTGAAGTACAAAGTTAATTATTGTGTTTTTCGTGGCCGACGGCGCCGTTGTGACTAATTGCGCCAATAAATCAACTGGTACATGTAAGAATATCTTAATTAACTAGTACAGAAGAAACGATTTTTTACTCGTTAGTTTTCAACTAAAGTCGAGAGAGTCGACGTTTGTCTACAGGTCAATTTGTAAACTGTTTTCGTGAACGGTGTTCGCAGTGCTCACCGTGTGAAACACAATCGACCGAATGGCTGGTAAAATGACGATTAAACCAGACAATTTTTTATTTTAAATGCTCCTCGATTTCGACAATAAATAACGATTACCCAGACTGAGATTTATTCGCTTTTAATCAAATGACTGCTGCGCAATTAATATTAATTCTAGACACTACTTATTCGTGGAGTTAATTTTATTTTTAGAACTTTAAAGTTAAGATTAAGACTGCAAAATATCAAAACTACAAGCTAATAACTTTGAATATTGCGTGTCCGTTTGTATTATACTTATTAATTAAGTATTTGAATTAAGTGAAAACAGAAGCTGTTTAATTTTTACTACGATACTGAGAAATTTGTTTGGTTTTGTCATTTCCAATTAGGACAGTCCAGTGATATCTTTTCGTTTGTTCCTATATCTTACATTATTAATTTTATACATACATATGTGTATTCGAAGGCATGAAGGTATAGATATACGTATGTGTACAATACCAATTTTGTAAGTTAGTCAACGTAATGGCTTACATAACTTACTACTGGTTATTAATAAGGACATGCAGGAAATTCTTTTGCTGCTAAGAAAATTATCTGCTACAAATTATCGGTTCTCAGAAGCTTTTCCTGATACCCACGAAATTATTTCGAAACATAAAGAAACATACTTGCTTCAAAAACTAAATTAATTATGATAGTAGGTACTTAGCAATTTATAAAACATACCATTAAATTCCATTACGGAACTAAACTGTCTGTAAGATAATAATTAGTTTGTTGTTTTATGTAAAATAATTACTTACAGTTATCAAACTAATTTGTGCAATGTAACAGCTCTTAATTAGTTGCTATTTTTTTTTCTGAAGATTGTATCGTATGGTAATTTATTATCGCTTTAAGAACTAACAAGAGTGAAGTTATTGTAATATGATATGTATTATGTATTAATATAATTGTTAGTTAAAACATACGTCAGGTAATCAAAATATCTGAACTAGATAAACGCAATCTAAGGTCTTCAAGTGAAAAAATAATGGAGTTTTAATGAAGCCATTTTAAATTTGAATTTGTGGCATTCTCAGAAGTGTTTGCTTTGGAAAATCAAATCACCTAAAGCACTCTTATTTATAGGAATAATTTATTAAAAGTAGAAGCAAACTATATTGGCATCCTGAATCACACTGACGTCGCTGAAAGCATCATGTAATCAGTGACTGAAACCAAGTACCTAACAAATAAATAAACCGAAATGCAGTGTGTAAACGTCCAGCAATCTTTAGGAGAAATATTGTGTAAGAACGAAAAGGGAAAGTATACAATACAAACTGTACAACTAAATAACTTTTAATGTAAATACAAGCATCTTTTATATATGACCACCTGTTCAAAAGACACGCTGTATCCATACATTCACACATAAAAACACGTCATTCAGATCTCAATTTGGAGAATCCTCTCTATTGCATGATTTGTTACGTAAAAGACCAATAAACTTTCTTCGTCTGAAAGGATGATAATTACTGAAGTAATCGTGAAACCAAAAAAAAAAGATACGAAGACAGTTTAGAAAGCTGTAAAAATATGCGCGATAATTTCTTATTAATAATGTACAAGATATTAAACAAGATAAAACGTAGATTAATTTATTATAAAATTAGGTATACTGGGTAATGAGTAATTTGGGTGACCCCGAAATAGCAAAATATTATCCACTTTTGTAAGAGTTAGAGAAATACCTACGTAATATGGTACAAATTTAAACACGAATCTAGGTGTTCCTGGAACCATATTTACCCAATTTAAAATTTTTATTAGTTAAAGCATACTTTAGACAGTATCTTTTACGAAATTTGCATTATCTAGCTTTTAAACTAACGCCTACAGCGCCTTAAATATCAAATAACTACGGGAGACATCAACAGTGCGTCAAGCGACGAACCTGAAATTGATTTCAGCAGTTTCAAGGGCTAATGGCTGCACCGATTTGGACGAAACTTTTCATAAACTTAAAAGAGGTTATTAGAAGTAATTTGGGTTACTTTTTTATTGGTTATAACTATTGTATTTGTTATAAACAATTAGAAATAACTTCACGCGGACAGAGTCGCAGGTAAAAGGTAATTATTAATGAACATAAACTTACGTGATACAACAGAAACGTTGATATTTTAAAAATTGTCGAGTAATTGTTTAAAATTAAGCTATTTTACAACTGCTTTTTCAATGAATATTTACTTGTATTGACAAATTAAAAACGACTGCTATGGCACAAAAGGAAACAGGAAATTGTCTATTAATTGAAGGCCATCTCTTTGACTTGATTGAAACAAACAACGATCAATTAGCGACAGTTGTTTCGCAAAATCTTATAACAATAGGTATACAAGGATGCCAGGCTGCTTCATATTGTTAAATCTACATCTACAATAATTAATCGTTATTGTATGCAATGAGGATATTTTTCTTGCGTGAAATACGACTGTCAATCTTATTATTGATCTTTCTTTTCACTTTATTATACAATACATTACTGCAAGTTAGTTCTGACGAATTAATGAATAGTTTGGTAAATCATATTTTGTTTTCACTCAGCTTCAAATACACCATCCCTGAGCTTCATTGTAAAAGTTGACTTTATATTCACTACTCGTAATTATTTTATAAGTTGTGACTACACACGAACATAATGAAGGACAAACCAATCGTATACTTTTACATGCGGAACAAATGGACAGTAAATTCCGTTTTTTTTTGTTCATGTGCCAGGATTTGATTCATATTATTGTGGGTGTAATGTCTGATCTCATTTTGCTTTGCTTACTCTCTATAACAAATGACGTAGCGAGGTTTTTATAGTAGGCATAGAAAAAATTACTGATAAATATTGAAAAGAAAACTATTGTTTCAACAATTATACTAATTACAATTTGCCATGCAACGGTTTCTACATTTAGCAGTAAAGAAATTTACTTGAATACTGAATAAGTGCCTTTGTTATTTGTTTATTTATTAAACGGAAAACAAAAACGAAAGCTGCAGATGTGACTCCATTATTACTATTTTTTATTTGTTGCAATCTTGTGCCGTAACAAAATTAATTGAGGACGTTTCTGCCGACTGGTTAAATAAAGTTATGAATTCTTAAGCAAACTGATCGTTATGGATGTTGTTCTAAAACATCTGGTCACAGTGTAATGTTACGTAAAATCGTTAAAATTTATTTGCCGTATAAAATTGGTTGGAAATTTAAATTAATTATAATAAATTGGAAGTACGAAAAGGTTAATTTTCTAATAAGCAGTTTAAGTTACGCGATAAAAATTAATTTGACAGGCGCGTTATTATGCAACAAAACACAACAAAGTTTTGCTTTTAAAGTTTAAAGTTTACAACTACTGAATCTACGCTGTTCAATGTATTCAATAAATAAATTAATAATTTATTTGGCTTACCGTCTTTGGATGAAACACAGTCAACACTGTCGATTTGTTCAAGCACCAGTGCAGCCTCTTCAGCAAGTTCTTGTTTTGTTTTCGAGAGTTTTTCTTTTTTCACAAGTGGCACATGATACTGTTGACTCCCTCCGTCACCACGGTGTCCACGATTATTATGAGACGTTTTACCCGGCACTGGAAAAAAAGAAATAAGTTTTAGCACCTATACGTTTAGAGAACACATTTTATAAAAAAAAACATAATTTTACAAAATAGTTAGGTACAAATGACAACTTCGTAAATCTTTATCGTATGATACACAGTGTAGGTAGGTATATTAGTAGACAATTTTCATTATAATAATAATCAAAGCTGAAGTAATGAAGTAGAAAAAGCGAGCTTGCGTGTGTGGCAAGACCATTACTTATAAACTTTGCATTATCATTAACTTTTGTTGAGAATGAAGATGTTGACGTCTGGTGTGGTACGATCAGCCACAGCCTCCTGACGCTAGCAATCATTTATTACAATTTTCAATAACGTTTTTTATTAGTTGCTATTTACAATCACAATGTTAAAGAACAGTTACTTAATCAATCCTGAAAGATTTTATACTTTAATTAATCGGCAGATGTATTGATTTTAAAATGCTTGATAAATGCTCTGTGTATTTCTACATAATTAGAATAAATGAAAAACAGTATGCTAATTATGTAACATGAGGAGCTAATAAGGATCGAAGGCTTGCTAATAATAACTGAACATATGAAATAATTTTGAAACAAGGATTTTGTTTTCGAGTAGATAAGACAAGGTGAAACTGAGATAATGTTTAAATAAAGTCAGACACTTATAGATCCAAAGATGATAATATCCGCGACTGATGGCTAAGCTGTGACAGAATTATATGATCGAGAAGAATTAAATTAATTATTAACTATACATTTTACGCGATTTCACTTAAGAAGCACTGAAACTCATTCAATTCAAATTACCTAATAATTATCTGATCAATTTCAACGATTCTAACTATTCTTTTATCATTTTCTAACTTTTCACCCTTGCAAGAGAATAATTAAAATCGGTTCATAATTGGCAAAGGATTAGAATTAATATTATGATTGGTAAATTCGCATAAACACTGCTATAATGCGAGAAAAGCATAGGTATACATATATTTTTGTCAGATAATTAAATGCGACCTTGCTAACAAAACAAAATGAGACACTAATACATATCATTCTCGAACTAAGTAAACAGGTGAATTGATACTAAAAAGGATTGCCAAGTGAACTCGTCAAGAGTCGTATATTCATGATGTATGTGTATATTGTTAGACGGCCATCCGTTCGCTCGTGTACACAAAAGTGAAAACTAACATAGCAAATAATTACGCGAAAGTTTGCACAGTTCCAAAGATAGATCCTCAAAATGTTTACCATTGAATTCGAACAAAAGACGCGGCCTTGAAAATTCTAACAACAACAATCTGCTTGTCCAACCACATCTCACAAAAAAACCATACAATCTAAGTATAATACAATACAGGTAGTGCAATTAAAATATAATTTTGATACCTTCACTCGTTTTATTACGGAAATTGACGCTAAATCTTTGCAAAAGATGTCTGATGGCGCCTAATTAATATAACTTTTATTTTTATTATTTACCGTATGAAAAAAATTGTTAAAATAGTCTTTCGTAGTGTTGGTTTTGGATGTTGTAAGGACTTACAGGAATTTATTTTTAATTCTTTTGCTTTGACGCACAGGTAATTGAAAAGCAAGCAAGTGATGATGACCAGTTTTGTGTTTTAAAATATTCTGATATGGGACTGTTTTAAGCTTAAAAAGCTGCAAGTAACCTATTTGTTTATAATAAAATTGAAGTTAAGTAGATAATGGATGTGCATAAACTTGTGACCTTTGAAAATTATACAAAGGTCAAGCGTCAAGGTGCAGGCAGGTGTTTTATTTCATTTAAGGTCATCATTGACAAACTCCATGTAAAGTAATACTGATTTAAAGTTTCACAGAATTATCGTTACGAGCAGTAAGAAAGTTGAACGTCGTAGAGAGGCAAGTAGATGCAGATGTCCTTATGATAATAACGATTAAATCTGCAGGTATTAAGTGTGAATAATTTAAATGAATATGCTTTCATTTTGCACGCATAATAATCATAAACAAGGTGAAAACTTACTTCTATTATATTGTTTGAATTGAAAAATATTGCGCCGTCACGTTCGCCACGAATAAATAAAAGAGATTTATAATAATAAGTAACCGTATGCATTTTCGTTTTTCACGATAATTGTTCAATCGAGAGACGCACACGTTCCGTCTTGTGTATCATTAAATATGCAACGGTAATGTAATAAACGAACGGCGACATGCAACTCAGACACATGAGTCGTCATTGAAGTGTAATCGTCGCCTTAACCGAGGATACGAAACTGGTAGTTGATATTAATATGGTCAGTTTGAGAAAATAGAAGAACGAAAAGGAACGATAGAACAAAATAAAAAAAAAAATTGCGCGGCCGTGGGTGTCAAAAGATGTCGATTATGCGCAACAACAATCTGGCATTTTAGTTTATGCTTAATGGATTTCAGATAAGGTGGGCGCCTCCATTCTACATTTCTTGTTAGCAATTGATAGTCTGTGGGACCAGATGAAGGAAAAATTTACATATACGTATACATATATGAAGATATCCAGTCTAATACATCCATAATAACATAACATACAAACATATACCCACTTGCATATTTTCTTTATAAAAAAAATAGTTTCTATTTATTGATTGTTTCGATTAAACGAAACTTATTTCTTTAAATTAATCGAAATAATCGATTGTTAAATTTAACAATTGCCCAGGTTTTCAAGGCTGACGTCTGAAAAAAATTGGATTTCTGGATTCTAACCGTGTTGAGGCCCTTCAAATACAAAATAGTCCTCTGTTAAAGCCATAGGGATTCCGTTATCCTTATGTGCTTAGGATCTGCAATAGGATAAAGACGGTCCTGACCGTGTTTTATTAATAACATCTCCATGACGAATTATGGCGGCGTCAAATGTATTCG